GGGGGCCCGCGGAGCCGGGGAAGCTCGGCGTGGGGCTGGGGCTGCCCTGCACCAAGCGCCTGGCCGGGCCCTTCTGCCCGCTCACCAGCGCTGGTTTCCCGGTTCCTGCATGTCCCAGCGTTGCCGTGTGGCAGAGGGAGCCCTGCCTCAAGGATTTGAGCCTCAGCGTCCATCTCTGGCATCTTTTGTGTGTTTTTTTCCATGAAGCTTTTTCAAACGCTGCACCTGAGTTGCTCAGGAGAGGATGGGCGCAAGTCTCCTGGCAGCATCTGCCCGCAGGAGGGCAATCGCTCGAGGAGTGCCGGCTCCCAGGGCAGTGGGGAGCAGCTCTGGGGGGGGTCGAGGCATGAGATGATCCAGCTGTTTCCAGGGGATGTGCTTGGGGGACCCCAAATCCCCTCCTGACGTAGCATGGCCTAAAACGGTAGCTCGAAGGCATGGCATAGCCTGCTCGCCTTGAAGGGCTGTTCCAGCCTTTTTCTTTTTCCTAAACTTCTGGATTTTCACATTGTTTAAAAACGCTGATGTGGACCTCACTGTGGTGGCTCTGTGGCTGCCGAGCTCAGTGCTGAGCCCCTGCAGCCTCAGGGCTCCTGCTCAGCGGGTTTGCCCGGACAGATCCGTTTGAAGCTACCAGAGCAGCTTTTTGCTGCTTTTTCTGCCGCTGGAACTTGCACAGCCAACACGCATGGAAAGGCTTTTTTGTCCCGTGTGGATAAATGAGAAATTTTTCCAGCTTTTAAAGCATGGTACAAGCCAGGCGCATCCTCTCTGGACCCCCTGTTTTCCAGAGCGTGTCCCACCACGTCCTCCCCCAGCAGGACGGGGGGGGGTGAGTGGGAGGAGGCAAAGCCCAGCCTTCCCCCAGCGACTGTGGGCAGGAGGGCAGGCAGCGGACGCCCAGCCCCTCTTTTGGGAGTGGGAGATGGGTGCTCTTTGCTGACCGCCCCACACTCTGCTGAGGATCTCATGTCCAGCTCACCCTCTGGTCTCCAGGTCATGCTGGCGTATCATCCTTGGGCTGCAGGAGAATTTTTTTTTTCCCCTTTATATCTTAAGAAAGAAATACAATTGATTCACAGAACGGCCGGATAACGTAAAGCGTGTGTGAGTGGTACGAGGACCCTGGAATTAAAGCAACAAGGAGAATAAAGGATGCTTCTTTAAAGCACATACAAGCGCGGGACTGTTGGTTTTATAGCCCAAATCCCATTGCTCTTATTTCAGGGCAGACGGGCAAGCTGATGTACGTGATGCACAACTCCGAATACCCCCTCAGCTGCTTCGCTCTCTTTGAAAACGGGCCCTGCCTCATAGCAGATGCCAACTTTGATATCCTTATGGTGAAGTTGAAAGGCTTCTTCCAAAATGCCAAGGCGAACAAGATAGAGAGCCGGGGCACCCGCTACCAGTACTGTGACTTCTTGGTGAAGGTGGGCACGGTTACAATGGGGCCCAGTGCCCGTGGGATATCTGTGGAGGTAAGAATCATCTTTGAAGGTATGAAATACAGCCTACAGACAGGGGAAATGCCATGTTGGAGGCTGGATGAGAAATCCCCCGTCCCTTCCGTGTCTTGATTGTAGTGCTTGTTGCCGGTAGTTTGTGCTAGATGCATTCATGCACGCAGCAGGCAGGGTATTTAGCTCTTTTTCACGAGAGGTTTTCGTTCAGGCAGGTACTTTGGGGCTCAGCTGCAGCTAGAGAAAAGACTGTCACTCTAGCGTCAATAAACCAAGCCCTGAAGGGATGCTGTCAAACTAAAAAGCTGCTTAAAAGTCCTGATGCACAACCCTGGTAGCGCACTTCAGGTCAAGAACCATACCGAGGGGGACAAAACCACCTCTTCAGCTGCTAATTCGATGCTGATTTGGCTTTTGCTTTCTTTCCCCAGCTCCAGCAGGCAAGCTGAGGCAGCCCTGGGAGAGCAGGGCCCTCCAGCCCCAGGTTCTGCTCGCACGGTGCGGGGATGGTCTTCTCCTCACCAGAGAGCTTTTGGCAGGTGTCAGTCCTACCCCATAGGCGTGCCGATCCGGGTTGCTGCCCCATGGGGTGCACCGTGGGCTCAAAGCCTGCCATCAAACCGCTTCCGCGCTCTCCGCTCAGTGCTGCGACTGCTGATGAGGCTCGAGAGCGTTGGTTGCTAGCTGCCGACGGGCATTTCCCAGGGTGGAAGCTGGGCTGAAGCGCACTCTAAAGGGAGATCCTTCAGTGTACACGAAGGGGCATGGGAGGATCTAGGAAGGCGTTTGGGGAGATGGTTGGCTTAGGGCAAGTGTGAGGCGAAGGCTCACAAGCCATTTCAACTGGGCTGAGAAACATCTCCGAAAAAGCCAAGGAGCTGGGCTGCGCTCTTATGGGGAAGGGCAAAGCAGAGCGAGTCAGACTCCAGACATCTAGGCGCCTAACAGTCTTCAAGATAGCTGAGAATTAGTTGCTTAAAAGTCCTTCAAAATCAGAGCTTATGCTTTTGTAAACACACAAATCCTGTTATCTGATCTACAATTAATAATCACGCCACGTCTGCTCAGGCAGGTGTTCCTAGCCAGCAGGGATGAGGATTGAGAAATGGCTTCACTGCACTAAACACAGATGTCGTAGCGTCAGCAATTGACCTGGGCTTAAACAGAAGCTTGTTTTACCCTAAACTTGAGTTCAGGACCAGGTCTGCCAGGCAGCCTGGCTGCTTCTGGTTTAGATTAGTATTTTTTTCAGTGTTTGCATTAGGACCTACTCCTGATTTGGGACCAGATTTGCATTTAGTAAAATGCTTCAAGTCCTTGAGTCCCACAGCTTTTTCCAGTACGCTCCCGAAAGATGGCACAGCCACACGAGTCAGCAACCTACCAGCATGTGGGAATGAGGTTTGGTTTTGAACGGGGTAAAGTTAATGTGGCGTTTGAACCAATGTCCCAAGACCTCTGGTACTGGGGATTTAATAAAAGCAGTGCCCTTACAGGGTACGTTTTGCCTCCCCTTCCCTTTTGAAGGGATTGCTTGCAAGTTCCCAGCATGTCCTGTTCATTTATATTTGTCCATCCTTGTTACAAGCTAAATATTCTCAGCTGTTTTTCTGAAAAGCATCCTCTCTCCAGCGAGGCAGAGAGCGGTTATTGCCCCTGCCACCAGCTTCAGGGCTGTCATTTCTGTTGCCAGGTGGAGTATTGCCCCTGTGTGATAGCCAACGACTGCTGGAACCTGCTGATGGAGTTCATGCAGAGCTTCATGGGGAACCACACTCCCGGTATCCCGTCCGTTTTTGGCACCAAGCATGACAGCATCTACAGCCCGGCGGACACCATGGTTCAGTACATGGAGCTGTTCAACAAGATCCGCAAGCAGCAGCAGGTGCCTGTAGCAGGGATCAGATGAAAGGACTCCCTGGAGCCCCGTTTAGAGCGACTGCATCCTCTTTTCTGCCTGCCCATCTGGATGAGGAGTCCCTCCAAAAAGTGGCACCAGAGGCAGCCCAAGGTTTTTTTTCTTCTCAGTCTCTTTTTTTCCCCTGTTTCAAAGCAAAGTTCTTGAACACTATGTGTATTTCTTGTTATCCTCCTCTGGTTTTGAGCACGCCTGGGATGGTTCTTAGTACAGTGCTTCGTGCAGGGGATTACTGTTCGTCAGCAGAAGGAAGGAGACGGAGAAATTCCAGCCAAATGCATGCAAGGGCGGAGCTTCCTTTGACTGCAAACAGCTACATGAGAGATTTTTTTTAAAAAAAATTCTTTTTTAGATACCCATGTGAAAGTGTCTTGTTACTTTTCATCAAAATAAAAAGCTGTATTTTGTGAGGAGATGGAGTCTTTCCACACAGCAAGCGTTGGGCTGTTTTGTGTTGTCTATTTACAGCTTTTGAAATTTTCTGTTGCGTGGAGACAATTCTTCAGCAGAGTTTTATCTTTGATTTGGTTCAAGAGCTTTATACCCCTGAAGCAAACTAATTTCCCTGTGGCAAAATCTACAGGAATTTTTGTATTCCTATTACGGGTGTGTTCTTAGCTTGCCTTCATCTTTTATATCTGATGGGAGTATTAAAATCTCCTACCGCTCAGATGATACCAATGAAGCCTCGTGATAAATAAATAAATAAGCCTGGTAGGAGCCCTCTCATGCATTGAAAGAGAATGCCAGCCGCTTTATCTCATCATTTGAAAGGTAGGTAATAAACATCCTATCCCTGCGCACCATTTCTCATTTGAGAAATCCTGGTGACTTCAGCAGATTTAATAGAGTAAGAAAGGATTTGGGGAATAAGAGCCAAAAATTTATTACAAGACTTAATGATGTGATATCACTTGAATTTTCTTTTTTTTTGTGATGATTTATTTTTACAGCAGGAAAACTGGGGAAATTCGATCCCTTTTGAGCTATCTGTCCCCTTGGTTTTACATGTTCAGTATCTGTCTAGCTTGTAGCTGTCGTTTTTTTCTCCTCCTCCCCATTCCACCCCCTGCTTGGTCTTAGAATAAGCAGAAAAACCCTCATTCAGCCACCAACCTCTGCGCTGAGCTTCCTTGGTGGTTCCTGGGAAGGCTGCGTGTAGCAGGGTTCCACCTCTGCAGTCCCGGACGTAAAGGGCAGATGTAGAGAAGGTCCAAGGATGGTTTTGGGAAGGGAGGTTTGCGAGGATGGCAGTGGGCTCCTTCTGAAGGTGCAGCATGCGTCTTGCTCGCAGAAAATATTGTTCGTTCCTTGCCAGTATGTGGGTCTCAAAGATTCTGAAGAGCAAGCAAAACAAATAGATTTCTCCTAAATAGAATAGTTCCTTCTGAAGCAGTGGGGAGAAAAGCTGGTTTGTTACTTGATTTGCTGGCTGGTGGAGAACTAGTTATTTAGATATGACTTATTTGTGATTATCATTTATACCTGTAAGCCTAATTAACTGTTAGAGTGCCTAGAGCTTTTATTGTGGGCATTGAATAAATTTAATCAGCACCGGGTCCAGAAAGATCTGGTTAGTGAGCCATAATAAATGACATAATGTACCGTGTGTTAGAAATTCCAACGTGCTGAATATAGTGAATATTTGCAACTCTTAGCTCAAGTTCATGACATGGGCACTGACTTCAGTGGGACTATTAATTTTCAGTGATGAAAATTCAGTGAGAATCTGACCTGCTGTCGTTCCACGTAGTTAAGTGTGGCTGGGAAAACTTACAAAACCGAACTGTAGTCTTTGTAGGGATAGTTATTTCGATCCTGTTTCCCATTTTAAGTCTTCAGGTTAAAATAAAAAACCTTTGAATGATCAGATTAGTCATGCTGAATGTTGCTAATGCTTTATTAATTCCCGAAAGATGCATTCTGTAACCAGAGATGTCAAAACTCTGGTCACATGTCTTAAAAACGTAAAATGTGTGCTGGAATCTCTGGGGACTTCTTTGCTCTTATTAATACATTGTACTGTTCCTAGAGTAATAAAATGGGACCCCTTGAGCTCCATTCTACCTTCAATTACACCATTACAGCCATTGAGGTCTGGGTTTCCAAGTGTGTAAGGACGGGTAGGATTTAGCCCTTTTATGTCTTAGCAAAAAAGTCTGTTGCTGTAACTGCATTCTGTGATCGAGGGGATCAGCTGCCCCATGAGGGGCTGCTTTTACTCTGAGGCTTTTCACCTTCTCGATGGACAAAATAAGTGTTTTTTCAGTCATATTAGCTGCAGTAATCTGCCTCATTTTGCCCCCCCCCCAGCATCAATATGGCAGGTTAACGTGGCTTCGAACATGCTAGTCTGCATCTTAACAAGTCTTCAGGGGGCTTTCAGTTGTGTTACATTAATGGATTGAGCCAGTGTAATTGAAAACCACCCTAATTTTGCCTGTCAAGGCATGGTCTGGAAGGTTGTTTTCCTGTTGCTCCCTGGTGTTTTCTCAGAGAATGCAAGATCTAGAGGGAGAGGCTGCCAAGCTGTAGTACTGTACCGCTGTGGATCCTTTTTTCTGCTTCCACACCTCCCAAAAATCATGGGCAATGTTGTTGCTTTCTGTGAGTTGAAGCCTGACCTAAAGGGGACTGGGGATCTTGGGGACGAGGGTCTCACCCTTGCATTGTTGTAGCTTTCCTAGCTCTAAGTAGAGGCTGGGTGACGTTGCTAGGGTCACCAACACTTCAGTGGCAGAGAGAGAGTCCAAGTCTCACTGCCACCCTGGGGATACTGTGGGCTTTTGTTCTGTTTTGTGCTGTGGTGTTTTTTATGAGGAAGGACTTACATAGCAGCTGCACCCTGCTAAGCTTTACAAAGAGAGTGAGGACATGAGGGCCTCGTTAATCTTCAGTTCTAATTCTTAGCAGATGTTACAGACTGAGGGCTCATTCCAGTGGGGAGCTGTTGAAGAGTTGAGAGGTGTGTGACTGGATTTCTGTGCAGGTATGGGGGTTCAAAACAGACCAGGCACAGGTCACAAAGGGAAGGTGTAGAGAAAGGACGACAAAGCTCACGGGAAGTGGAATTTGTGGGAAGGCTGGCTGGTGAAGGAGACCACAAGGCTGTGGAGTGTCCTTGTGCCATGGCAGAAGAAAGCAGGCTCCTACCTGTTGCAGTAAATTGCAGTGTTTTGCCTCAAAACTTACTAGGATAAGGGGGGAGGGGAAGGGGAACACTTTGTCCCCGTGCAAATGAATTGTGTCTGTGCCGCCACTGACCTGTGCTTCGTGTCATCAGTGCTGCGCAGTCCATGACTGCTTGCTTGCAGCTTTGCCCCGGCTCAATGCTGCCTAGAGAGCAGGACTTGCCGCCGCTCCCTGGCAGGTCCCCAACAGTACCTCCTGCAGGCTGCAAAAAAGTGAGTTGTCCCAGTGGGTGCGAGTGACTGCCAAGCGTGGCTGCCCCTTGCTGGGGACAGGCTTCTCCCCCCCGCCTCCATGCTGACGTCCCTTTGTCTCTGACAAAACACGTTTGCATCCCCTCACAGCTCCTGCAGGGTGGCGAGGAGTGTGTGACCTTAGGGGCCTTCCAGTCACTTCTGGCAAAGGCCACTATGGCTTGTGGGCCCTTGTCTGCGTGCCATCACTGCTGTGACCTCAGCGGCCCCCCCATCACTTCAGGGGCCCTGTGGGGTGCTGCTCCCTCCCGTCACCTCAGGGTTTCTGTGGGGTGCTCCCTCCGTGACGTTATGGGCCCTGTGGGATGCCCCCCCCTGCCACCTCGGGGACCGTGTCACCTCAGGGATTCTGTGGGGTGTTGTTCCCCCCCGTCACCTCAGGGGCCCTGTGGGGTGCTCCCTCCCGTCACCTCAGGGTTTCTGTGGGGTGCTCCCTCCAGGACGTTATGGGCCCTGTGGGATGCCCCCCCCCACCACCTCAGGGACCGTGTCACCTCAGGGATTCTGTGGGGTGTCGTTCCCCCCCGTCACCTCAGGGGCCCTGTGGGGTATCTCCCACCCCACACAGCCACCTCAGGGGCCCCGCGGGAACGCGCCACCTCCCGCGCTGCCCCTTTAAGAGTCTCTTTGTCTCCGAAACATCCTTATTTACCCTCCTGTGACTCAACCAAACTTCAGTCTGGGATTCACAAAGCCCGCTACGTCACTGTGCGGGGCCGGGCCCGGGCAGTCCCCGCCCCTCGGCGCTGCCCTCCCGCTACTCGACCGTAAGCCATTGAAGAGCTCTCCCTAGCGGCTACGC